ACTTAACTTTTGCCATCACAAATGGGATAACAAGCCCCTATGTGACAGCATTTAGAGGTGACAAGTTCTCTCTATGGAAACATCAGGGTTCTACTCGACTCCTGATGTCTCCCCTGTACCTCCAACACCGAGGATGAAGCGCTGGAATGTTTTAGCCGCCTTCTGACAGCTGAAGCATGAAGCATTGAGAATGCCTAATGCTTTATTGATCACAGAGAAGATAGGGGAATGGATATTCCCTGGTCTGCTCCCGCTCCCCATCCTGACACTGCATGTCGTGGACCTGGGCCCCCCAGAGACACGAAAACCACAGCGGGGGTGTAGGGAAGGGGGGAGCGGAACGATCCTAGCTAGTACAATTGATCTGGGTGGCTTTACAATTGGCCCCGCCTGCCTTACATCATTGGTTGCTAGGAAGCTGGCAGTCATAAACCAGTGCAAGTAGGTGATCGCAGTCCAGGCAGAATCACCGCACGGTACACATCCAGACCATGGTCTGCCATTTAGTGATGATTGCTCTAATGTCTTCAGAGAAAATCAACACTTCTCCAGGAGGACACAATATTGAGGTGGAGGTTGGCAGGAGCTACCATAATTGCAGTAGAGGACACAGGAGATTGAAAACACAGGAGACTGACACTTCTAGGAGTGTCAGTTTCTTACCACACGTCACATGAAGATTCCTCTTCAACAGAATGGAGCTTGGTATGCGAAAAGTATTTCCTTTTTTCAATGAGGAAATCTTTTCTGGAAATTTAATTTTGACAATAGGGTCACTTTGAAGATACCGGGGATAAAAGACGTTTTTGCAGACACCTGGGAAAAGCAGTGACCCAATAATATGTGCAAGGGATGAGATCTGTAGGGGCTTTCTATACATAACAGTGCTATCATGGTTTAAGGAAAAATTTGGAGGTTTTTTTTTTTGGCAACATCAGAAAATCATATCTACCTGAAAACTAAAATGGAAAAAAAAGTTATTTAGATAAAATTAGTTATTTTTTTTTCAAATTATATTAAATTAGGAGGGCTAAAACTTGGCTGTGCTGTCTTGCAGGGGTGCCTGGATCAAAATGAGAGATCTTTTGGCAGCTAAAACAGGGTCATCACTCACTCTCTCTCATTTCAGCAAGCTCCCGCTGTTTAGACTGACCACACAATGCTGCCCCTATTTACCATGTGAAATATCCTGTTGAATAAATTAAAAAGCAAAATCGGATTTTTATTAAATATGGAATAAACAAGGATGGATGGCAATTATTTTGGTCAGTTTTAAGTTATTGCCCACTATATGCTGAGAGTGCAGTGCTGAGCCGCAACCAGGACGGATCCTGACAATATTGTTGAGATCCACCCTTCCGACTGATTGACAGCTGATCTGCCTCTCTCTTCCCCTTCCATTCCTCCAGTCAGCACAGGAAAAACAGAGAGGGGGGGGGGGAATCCCTGTGGGGAGCAGTGACCGACAGTCACCGCTATCTGCAGGAAGAGGATCAGTAACTCAGCGATCGGCTGTATGTGTTCGCGGAGTTCCCGATCCATAGAGTAGACCTGTGAAAGCTTCAGTGTCACAGGTTGGCTTGAATTATGGGAATTACCCCATAATTCTCTATTATTATTATTATTATTACATAGTATTTATATAGCACCAACAGTTTGCGCAGCGCTTTACAATATAAGGAAGACATTATAGTTACAATACAATTCAAGACAAGAATTTTTAAATTTGGCTCCAGTATTAGCAACCCTTGTGTCACTTGGCATTGCATGCAAATTAATCAAAGTATTAGTTAGAGAATCAGAAAGCTGATCAGTAATTACATTGTTCAAACCACCAGACTTTCATGAATCAAGCACAAAACAGTAAGTCAATCAGAGGAAAGAAAGCCTTTATCAGTTCAGTATCATTATAGTTATATATATACCATTTCCTGCAGTAAATTAAAATATGACTTGCCCTTCTATTTTCTTGCGTTTACTGTTGGCATGGAATGTGCTACACGAGTGGGTGACTAGAAGCAGGCAAGGTATGCAACCAAAGCAATTTTTTTTAGATATGGGAAGAGTGAGGGAAGAATTTAAACTTTGTTATTTATGTTTGCGTTGTTTATTTAGGTCTGCTGGGAATGACTCCCCCCACTTCCTGTCCTAGAGACAACAATGGGGACTCAGTCAGCAATAAAAAACACATTATTTAGTAGACTAGGGAAGGAATAGAACCTTTGTCAATTTTTTGTAATACAATAAAATTTGTAGAAATACTTATGCCTCTAAATAACACAGATAGTTGATTCTCCCTGAGCCACATTCCCTTTGGGGTGCCTCACCTGACATACATTATACTCAATTGTTTTTATATAGCACTCACTGACTCTTCAACTAGACGTCACCCCATGGACTAATATCTGCTACTTAACTGACTGTGGTGATTTTGGTCTATGTAGAACTTGTGACGGGAATGGGTAAAGTACCTCTGCATATTTTGATCTCTAATTTGCTATTCTTCTTGAGAGCACTGGATTATATTTACTTTTTCAATATGCCTCCTAACACTTTGGGGACTAATGTTTCAACCTGCCTGATACTCTTATTTGCTCAACATGCATTTTGAGATGGTTGCTGCACTGCTTTATTAACATTGATTTGCATGAGCATTTTAGGGAGTCCTGGATTTACACGGACACAAGGTCATAGACCAATACAATATTGCTGCTCCTTGATTCCACATGTCAGAGACTAGGTCTGTCCTTTTTGAGCTATGCAAGAGCCATTGAATTGCTGATGCTCACAATCCAGAGACAGGCATTCTGAATTCTTTTTGGGCTGTTTTACCACTTTTTACTTTATGTGGATCCTATTATGGTGCTCATTGTACTGCAAGCTCAAGTTTGGATCCATAAGTGAGCTACAAGCTCACATTTAGTTTACTAATTTGTATTGAAATTGCAGTCTAGCAAGGGAGCAAGATTGGACCAGTGACTACTTTACAACACACACAGGAACAATGGGGAACAAAAGTAGCCACCTCAAGAGGGAAGGACAGCACCAATTCAGAGAAAATTTGAGGATCTGAGGAGTGATACACAATTAAGATACATTTTTGTTAATAGTTAGGGTACTTGAATGCATTTTTAAGATTTAGCTCCTGAGTTTAGTGTCATTTTAACTCTATGCAATAGCGATTTAAACAATCTAAGCAGTGTTGCACCCCTTTTGGTGCTTTTGATGTGAATCCTATACAGTTTGGAGGACTTTTTAGAGCTATGCAAAAAACACTAGTGATGGATTCTCTCAGTATTGTACAACTTTTGAGGATTATATTACTACAGATCTGCACAAATTCCATGTGCAAGGTTGTTAATGCTTCTTAAAAATCAGATGGCTCCTAGTATTTAGGGTTTTCTCTAGTCATTGTCAATGGAGCTGGCTCCTAATAAAACCTGCTGGCTCCTGTTTCGTACAGATTGGCTCCTGAATTTCATTTTAATTTGTCCACCCTACTATGTTCCCAAGGGCTTGTTCACACTGAAAGCTGTCCTGTCAATAAAAAATGAATCAGAAGCGCCAAACGTTGACCAACAAATGAAGGATAGTTGCGGGTGAGGATTACTAGGGGTGCTGCCCCACTTCAGCCTGGGAAGCTGCAATACTGTGGGAGAGAAGAAAAGAGAAGGGCGCCCTTCTCGTTTGTTCTCTGCCCTGTCAATACTAAATGGAGGCTCTAAAATAATATACAATGGAGACTGTTGGTATTTTCCCCATGCAACAAGCCACACTTGTGAAACAAGATACATTTGTGAAATACATTTTAAAGAGCTTGATTTAGGATTACTCCTAATAGGAATCAACAAATCAAGTTGTTGATTAACTTGATTAACCTTTTTGATTACAAAATTAATTTGGGGAGTTTAATCTGGCCCATTGACACACCCACAGACATTCACACACATTTTAATATTTTTTTTAGGATCCAGTCCCCCCTACCTTATGGGAACTGGAGTGGATCCTCAGCTGGGGGTCCAGTGTGGGCTGTTGTGTTGTGACTGAGATCCATCCATAAGTGCATTGCTTGTACAGCTCCCTTGTGCTTCTTGGAGAGGTGCCGGGAGCCAGGAAATGACGTCACAGGCTACAGGGCACGCGAGGGAGCAGTAAGCAATGCACCTATGGATGGTGCTGAGCTCCCTCATGGCCATACCCCCAGCCCACTCCACCTCAAGCTGACACTCGGCACCGGGCAGAATATTTTAGAACGGCTGCTCAGCGAAAGAACTGAAAAGTGCTGTGCTAGGGAGAGGCTGCGGAGCATCTCACCTAGCGCAATGGAAGGCACCCTGCAACCCACTAATTATGAGGTTGAAACCCATTTTTGGGTATTATGTAACACAGAGTGCAGTAGTATAGAATACAAAGTTATTATTACCAGCAGTTCACCCTGACTAACTAGCCCTGCACACTGTGCCGAGGTGAGATTAACAACTGCCAGACAATCGCGACAGTGCCTTTCCTACTTAGCCAGAATGAGGTAGTGGTGCATGTCAGGAGACCCTGGAACAGAAAGTGAGGGGTAATCTTTGTAGCAAGGACAAAGATAGCAATGAAAACAGTTATGCCTAGTGTTCTACTTTAAGTCGATGGATTAAAGATTAACAGAACTGTGAAAGAATAAAAAGACATAAAATATGCCACATACTGTAGCTACTGTCTGTTGCCTCTAATTGCAAGATTAAGATTAATACATTTTTAACACAGTCACGAAAATTTCAAAATGCAAACATGTTATCAAAAATGTATGGGGGAATTTATCAAAACTGGAACAAACAGAATCTGGAGCAGTTGCTCATAGTAATCAATCAGCATCTCTCTTCAGTTTGTTCAGGTAAGATTTGAAAATGAGAGATAGAAGCTGATTGGTTACTGTGCAAATCTGTTACTGTGCAAATCTGCTCCAGTTTTGATAAATCCCCCCATTGTTTTTAACCAAAAGATTGCCTTCTCACCTTGCATAAATGCCGCTAACCATGTCATGTTGTAGGGACTCATCTGCCAGTTTACTTGGCCCAGCTGCTTTGGAGATTAGCAGCACCACTAAGCCTCGCATCTGAAGGTTGTTGCGACTATCGTACACGAAGGCTCTGCCAAAAACAAACATATAAATACAAATAAAGAACTCTCAGTATAGTATATGTGAAGTCAAACCTAAGCAAAGCATAAAACAAGTTGAGAAACTGTGCCCTAATGTCTTTGCTTTCAGTCTCTTCTTATTACAGCACTTCTTTTTTTTTACAATACGATACAGTAAGGGATATCTCCGAGCCAGCTACTGATTTTAATTGCTTCCGGCTTAACTGTCACTTAAAACACACAAGCTGACATGTTTAAGTTATCCTATTACAACCATTTCTATAGTGCAGTTGACAAGACTCTCTTCTGGAAGACAGACACTCATAATGTAGTAAAAAGAAGACAACGTCTGTGAAATGTGGAAATAACTGTTTATGGTATGACCTGCAGCTGTCTGAAGAGACAAATTTATCTGGACAAAAACTAACCTGCATCCAGACGACGATAGCGTTCAAAAGGGCCATTCCCCTTCAAAATGATTTTTATTGTTTTTAATAGACGTTTGAGTTTTCACCATCTAACAGATTCTTTTAAAGTTGTTTTCGCACACTTGCTGCAGTAGCTTATGATATTTATTTTAACATATACTTAAATTATATCATGGACATTGCAAGAGGAAAGGTAAGATTAAATGCTTCTTTTATGTACTACATGAGCACAACTTATTCAAGTACTACAGAATATGCACCTCTTAACTTTTGACACATTGCTTGCTCAAAGAGTCATTGGATATTAGGCATACTATATTAGGTTGACATTGGTTTGAATGGTAATGTATCATTTTGATTTCCCACCTTTGAAGGGAAACTATATTCCCCATGAATCTAAAATACATTTTATAGCTTTATCATAGTGTTTCTGTGTTGCAAGTTACGAACATCAATAAAGTTTTGTATGCAAGCCTAACTAAACTAATGCCCCCTACTCCATATTCTTACTTGGGTAAAAATCCTCTTCTCTGGCGGTCGCTTACTGAGACATCATAGGCTTGTATGGGGACATCCCAAAAAGCAGCTACAGTTCCTGAATGGCCCCATAAAAATCTACGAGGGCTCGATGTGCAGATTTGGCTGGTTACGAAGATTAATTTTGCCCAAGGAGTAGAAAAAATTGCTCAAGGCTATGCTACGGGGTAAGAATCTGAGGGAGAGGGATGTTAGTGCAGAGGAGTTCAGGTGTAGGCGTGCATTAGAGGAATTTAGTATTAAAAGTACATTTGTCTTTTTAAGTAGATGTAATCCCTAACTGAATGACAGGAGGGCGTCTTAAGGCCCAGTGCGCACACGAGCGTGGAAACGGTCAGCAGTGTAAACAGCCAGCAATGGCAGTTTACATTCAAGCGATCAGGTGTCTCTCAAACCCCCCGCCCACCACTCCCCACCGTCTTCATCGCCGCCGGTCCCGAGATCTGCTGTGCCCGGTACGGCTGGGACCGGCACAACGACGTGGTCAGTGGAGATCAAAGGGGGATCAGTACCCCATCTCCCCTCTGGTCCCCGAATGCAGGAAGTGAAGTACATTACATCACTTCCTCCATTCAGTGTCACTCTCCGGTTACAGATGCCGGTGAGAAGCTGATTAAGCAGATCTCTACTTCATCCGCTTCTCTGGGGGCCCCTAGGTGACATTAGCGGTCTTAGAGACCCCCTGATGTCTCCATAAAGAGAACTTGTCATGTGAATTGGCTATCACAAAGGGGATTTCTTTGCCAGAGTGGCCAGTATGGGCACAACAAATACATGAATCTGGGAGAAACCTTAGAATCTCATTGTGCATCTGCACAACAAATGTCAGAAGGTCGTAGACACTCTTAATAGATTGCAAGAACAGTGCACAGAAAGCCAGGTAAGCCTGAAGAATAGGGTCATGGCAGTGTTTCTGGTAGCGACTGCATGTTAAGCGGCAGAGAAATTGCCAAATGTATAATCTAAAAAGGTGCCCATACACTCTTAAAGGAGAACTATGAAATGAGTGATTTTCACTCAACCTCATAGTTCGAGCGGACGTGGGACAATGAAACTGTCACACGACGGTTCAATAGATCGGGAAGTAAGCACTGACTGGCGGAATGGACGGGGAAGGGGGTGGGTACAGCTGGCTCTGCCTCTAGATAGGCAGAGCCAGCTGTCACTCACGCAGCTGGGTGGAACTGGACAGTATTGTCGGGATCCATCCCGGCTGTGGCGGTCTCAGTATACCGTGATCTGTAGCTCGCGATATACTGAGCTTTGGGTCATGGGAGGATGCTAGTTTATGTCTTCCTGTGACCCTTAGGAGAACTATGGGGAAAAACACTTACCCCATAGTTCTCCTTTAATTTTCGTTCGGAAATCTTCCACAAATTGTCTTTTGAACGATAATCGAACAGTTGATGGGACACCAAAGGTTTTTTTTTTTTTTACTGTAATCACGCTCAAATTTTCTTGAAGGGTGAAGCTTTTTTCGAATCAAACGGAAACAAAATAAAAAAAAAATAAAAAAAAAATAAAAAAATAAAAAAATCGATGGATTACTGGCGTTTTCGTACGGCAAAAAAAAGAAAAATCGCAGCAAGAACACTGCACATGTGCAAACGAAAATACATTCTGTCAATCGACAAGAGTGAGTTGGTATGGCTAATGAACAATTATCGAAATTGACATTGGTCTTTGCTTGATGGTGTATTTGAACTGGAATCGAGCGAGGGCTCCTGGCTGCAACAAAAATTTCCGATGGAAAAATGTATAGGTGTATGGCCAGCTTAAGTCGTGCTGGATAAACACTACTTACTGTGAATAGTAATGTGAGTCAATAGAAACTAGGATGAATGGTTGGTTGTTTCAGTGCAACACATGCAGATACTTCTGCAGTGCTTGTTTTCTCCACAGGTGTACCGATTGAACTGCAGCGCCATAAAGCCATTGGGGGTGATTTACTAACCTAAACACACACACACACACACACACACCAGGTGTGTGTGATTTTCACACAGCGAAACGTATTTATCAACCAAAAAGTCTCTAAAAGCATATTTCCACTAATGCCATATATGGAAAAATCATGCACATGATGCATATATAATGCTGCTTCACAGTTTAGACAAAAATGGTTAGCTCATGCATTTACATTCCTGCATTCATCAACGCAAGCAACACAACATAGAGCTAATTTACCCAACATCACCTTGGAATTCCTTCAGGGCTTTGCACAACACACCTGCTGGGTGTGTACACATTACAAAGGTGTTTAGATTCCACCCATAGATCATGCTGGGAGGGAACACACTGCAGAGGTGTATACACGTTCGTGGTGTGTTTATAAGGTTAGTAAATCAACCCCATTGTGTTAATTAGATTGCAAAAAAGTAAAGGAATACGGATATTAAAAAGGTCTGGGGAGCGTTTCTTCTTATCCTTTCTCCTCAGCACAATATTTGCTAATTCCACACACAGCCAAAATAATAATGTGCATGCAACTTTGCTTCTTCAATTAACGATCCAGCCCTAAATTACCCAAGAGTGACATTTGTTTTGACAGTTGCACAAGCGTGTGCAGGATTTTTTGGGGATGCGGTTCTATAACCTCAGGCTGCTGATAATGAACTGCTTTATCACTCTTGACTATGACAGTACACCCGTACACATTTTTCAATTTTCCTTATTTCCATGCTTCCCAGAAAGTTTGCCCTTCTGACACCAATATGTGATATTTTTGGCAATGAAACTAAGGGAAAAATAAAACTTCAAGTATATGTTCAGTACAGCAGACAATCGCAAAAAGGAAGGAGGTAAATCTAAGTTGTTTCCAACTGCTTTAACCTAGTTGTTAGAAGTCGTTTTGTGGCTGCTATCTGATCCAGCAGTTGCACATAGCAGACACACCGGCCTTCAACATCCAGTAGCACCATCATCATTACATACTTAGCATGTGGTGACTGTGGGAGCTGAGAATTGTTGGCAAAACTAGAGTCTGCAAGCACTTCAGCAGTGTACTTCCAGTCTCTCTGTACCCAATTCTAACCCAGTTCTCAGAGGATTAGAATGGGCTAACGTCATTACTTCCAGTAATCATTGTTATTGCTGTGCTCTTCGGTGCAGCAGCAAAAGTAGAATATAAACTGCCTAACTGGCAGCCAAATCTTTGCAGTTTATCACATACTCCACAGTTAAATTTAAAAATGGAAAAGGAACTTTATAATTACAATATCCTAACAGCTCAAAATTCTTCAATATTGTAATGCTTTTCAACTTTGTTGCATTGCAGTGCAAAACAGGACCTATGAGACAAATTACTAAGTGTGATTTACTAATTTGTGGTACATTACTGCACATATGTATACGCTTGTCCCGATAAAGTAGCTCATTCATTTTAACCCCTTCGTGACTGACGACGTACAGTGTACGTCGCCAGCATCGGGGCTGTTTAAACAGACTCCCGGCGACTTTTGCCGCCGGGACTCTGTTTAAACTTGTAGAGCCGACTGTCGGCTTTACAACAGAAGCGATCCTGGCGACTTACCTGTCGCCAGATCGCTTCTGCGTCCCAGGCCTCAGTCATGAAGGGGTTAAAGGGGCTGCCAATGCATTGCAACATGCATTGTAACTTGTTGTGGTGTGCTGGAATGCACATGTATTGCGGCGTGCCATTTAAAATTAATGGTACCACAAGACACATTTGTGTGTTTTTTTGCTATGTGATAACATGCAGAAAAATGTGCATTGTACTGCATATTCTCGCACAGCTCTGGATCTGGTGTAAGACCGATTTACCATAGAATTGCAGCTTGATTCATAAAATTCCCCTTCCCTGCCTCTCAGAAGGAACACCGTGCCAACGTGTCCAAGGTCACTATTTAAAGCCCAATTCCAGTTTGAGCATGTACCCATAAAGCTCTTGAAAACAAAAAAGCAGCTCCAGCTGAGATACTCACCTAATCTCTGTCGCTGTCCCCTACAGACTCACTGATCTAGTGATGCTGAGCCATTCCTCTTCTGTGCTGAATGATGACCAGCACACATATACATACAGTACA